TATGATAAGGGAATCCTAGTATTTGGGGGACTTTTTTAGGAAGGATAGGTGTTCAGCCAAAGCCGAAGCTCCATGTACCTACTTAATGTAAACTTGCTTCCTACATCTACAGTACAGCTACTCTCTGTCTCTCTCTCTCTCTCTGCTGGAACCCTCTTTATGGCTCAAGCCCCAAGGATCTACGATAAAGGCGCATGGACCCTGAAGCTTCGTTCTAAATACCCTGAAGCGTTTAGGGTTCCATCGGGTCTTGCGTTTGCAAAGCTGCTCGCAGGCTCGCGCAGATCTGGTCCGGAGCTCGACGGCCGTGGTTTAGAATTGAGCTGCTTGCGGTTTAGGGTTCAATGGGACAGGGTCGCGCGTTCAGGGTTTAGGGTCTAGTTGAAGATCGCACATGGGGGGGGGTTGCTCTAAACTGCTGGGCTCCGATCGCAAGTCCAGTGGCCGGAAAAAAGTGTCGAAAAGGAATGGAAGCATCTGGAGAGAACCGAATGCGAAGCTATGCTGTTGGGCCTTTGAAAGGGCTGACCCTAAACCCTAAACCCTAAACCCTTGTAGGGTCTTATACCTTAAGGCGGCTACAGTCCCTACTACGACTTATGGGCCTCTAAACCCTAAACCCTAATCCCGTAAACCCTCGGAGGGCTCATTTGGTCCCAAAAAGGGAGAGAGTTCAGTTTAGGGTTTAGGGTTTAGGGTTTAGGGTTTAGGGTTTAGGGTTTAGGGTTTAGGGTTTAGGGTTTAGGGTTTAGGGTTTAGGGTTTAGGGTTTAGGGTTTATATAGGGTTTAGGGATCACAGGGGGCTCACAAGGCCGATGTGACTTACTCATGCGGAGGCTGCCAGGGGAACGGCTTGGCTCACCCAACCCAACCTGTATAGGGCTTAGGGTTCAGGGTTCAAAGGTTTTTGGGTTTAGGGTTTAGGGAGCGGACACATGGCGACACTATTCAAGCCGTCTGTGGCGGCACTTATCCAGGAGAGGTTCACATGGGCAGCTGCAAGGAGGGTTATAAGTACCCCGTAGGGTTTCGGGTTTAGGGTTTAGGGTTTAGGATTTAGGATTCAGGGAACCCTACCTACAACTACTCATGAACCTCCAAGCAGGCGGTCATGTCCGGGCGCTGCTTGTCGACGTACAGACCACTCCTTGAGAACCCTAAAATGGGCACCCTATACCCTATAATTAACTACTACGATGTATCCCCCTACTACGGCATATGGGCACATGAAGCCTTTCAGGGTTCATGCGGGTGCCAATGGATGTCCTGCTCTTGGCATCAAAGACACCACCCTGATGCGGCAAATCCCTGAACTACCTCAGAATCTCGGAGTGCGAAGTACGGCCAACGGCTGAGTGCAATTGTTGCTGAACACCATATGTTCCTGAACACCCCAACTAACCCCTTGAATAAAGGCGGCTTATATACCCTACTGTTATGGTTAAAGGGTAGTTGGGGGTTGCTGGTACATCCAGGGACCTCATAATTCCGTTGCTATAGATTGAGTTACACACCCTAAACCCTAGACCCTGAACCCTATAGATGCTAACCCTAAACCCTAGACCCTAAACCCTAAGCCCTAAACCCTGAACCCTGAACCCTAGACGCTGAACCCTAAACCCTGAACCTCAAGGCCCGGGTGGATGCCGAGCGCTTCGCCGAGGAGCGAGCTGTTGGGGGACCCGGCAGGGTTTAGGGCTTAGGGTTTAGGGTTTAGGGTTTAGGGTTTAGGGTTGAGTCTTCGGATGCCCGGAGGGTGATGGGGTTCATGGGGTTTACGGTTTAGGGTTTATGGTTACGGGTTTATGTGGTTTAGGGGTTTAGGGTTTAGGGACCAGGCTTTGGGGTTCAGGATTCATGGGGCTGCGGGCTCGGTCATCTCGTTCAAAGGCTAGGTTGCTGGTAGCTGGACATCTAGTTTTCTAGGGCGTAGGGTGGGGAGCTCAGGTGGTATGTAAGAACTGCATACTCTGAGTCCGTACAAGACATGCCTCCTGCTTCCCTTACATCGAACATCCCGAAGCTCCTGTAGTTGTTCCCGACAGCCAACTCTAAACCCTAAATTACCAGGGAAACAGACCGTAAACCGTGAGCCCTATCCCTTTTTCAGAGGATCGTATTGAGTGTTTGAAAGGGCCCTCCTAGTTTTGTCATCGCCCTTAGAAGGGTAGCAACAACTATGGATTGGGATGTTCCCCCTTATACTAACAGTCCTTAGTAGGGATCATAGTACCCCCTATTCTAATCCCCAATAAGGACTGTTAGTATAAGGAGGAACATCCCAATGCTATGGACCTCAAGTTTTGTCTCGCGGTCTGTGTCCACACCAAGGCCGTCAATGCCTCGGAGGCGGCAGAGACCGAGAAGCAGCGCCTGAAACAACTTCTCGAGGAGGTTCGGGCCATGAGGTTAAGGTTTTTATTAGAGTATTAGTAAGTTATGATGAGTTAAGGGCCCCGATTTAATATCTTACTTGTTGGGGTTGAGTTTGAGGAGAAAATGTTTGAGACACTTCGCGGTCTTGCTCGGGCTTTGCGAGAGTTGGGGATGCTGAGGCCTCTTCGACTGGGACTTGAGCGGGCGGATTTTAGGGTTTAGGGTTTAGGGTTTAGGGACAAATAAAAACCTGCAAGGTTCATGGTTTCGGGTTCTACGCCTATGGCTTAGGGCTAAAGGGTGACTCATAGAAGCCAGCATAGCCTGCCCAGCACGAGTCCTGAGAGAAAATGCGGCTGGGACATATGGTGCACTACTTTGCCGGAGACGCAACCTACTACCCCTGAACCCTAAAGGCCAACCGTAGTCCTATGGCGTGAACACGTAAGGTCCTGTGGTCGCAAAACCAACCCTACATTGGCGATCATTCACCCTGTGTGCTACCATAACCCCTGCTTAGGTCCATGGACCATATACCCTTGTAGAGTATGGTTCGGGGATGCCTACACTACGACCGTCTATGAAGGTATAAGGACCCCAAACCCTTTTAGGGTTCATTTGGGTCCCAAAAAAGTAGAGAGTTTGGCATGGTGTGACGAGCGCAATGCAGTGGCATTGATCCAGTAACCCTAAACTCTAAACCCTTGCCACCGGTCGAGAGCTCACACAGCGCGCTTCGGTTTGGCACGTGCTAAACCCTAAACCCCCAAACCCTCCTTGGTAAGCCAGTGGTACCCTTTTCCCTTTTTTTCGTTCAAGGCTCCCTTAATAAAGTTGCCAAGCCAACAAAAAGGTGTACCCTTATTACAATATGGCTACTGGGCTGCCAGGCCTCCTTTAAGCATCCTTGTAGCGATCCATGGTTTGGGCTTCGTGTGTTCTGGGTCCAGCATCCTCAGCGCAGAGGTCGAGCGCAACGTCGAAGACATCAAGTGGGCATCCCATTGGTTGAGGTTTTAGGGTTTAGGGTTTAGGGTTTAGGGTTTAGGGTTGAGGCTTTAGGGTTTAGGGTTGAGGCTTTAGGGGTTTCTGTGACGCACAGGACAGGTACCGGCGTCTCAGGCATGGATGTGTTGTGTGTCTTTTCGACAGCGTACAGCCATAAAGGCTCAATGATCTTGGAGAATTAAGTAGTACGTACGTGTGTCTGTATATATATATATATATATATATTGGATATATGTATATATGTACATATGTACATAATATGTATGTATATGTACATACATACATATATATATATATATGTGTGTGTGTGTGCATACTGACGTTCTAAGGCTGGAGCTCAGCAATGAGAGGGAAAGCCACGGCAATGAAAAGCTTCGCGTGCAGCAGGAGCGTGCTGCCCTAAACCCTAAACCCTAAACCCTAAACCCTAAACCCTAAACCCTAAACCCTAAACCCTAAACCCTAAACCCTAAACCCTAAACCCTAAACCCTAAACCCTAAACCCTTGTGTTTTTGATGAGGGCCGAGGGCAGAGGCCAGGCTGCGAGTGAGGCAGGCGCGGTGGGGCAGGTGCAGGTCTAGGGTCCAGGGTATAGGGTTTAGGGTTCAGGGTTTAGGGTTAGGGGGGTATAGGGTTTAGGGTTTGGGGTTTAGGGTTTAGGGTTTGGGGTTTAGGGTTTAGGGTTCAGGGTTTAGGGTTTAGGGTTTAGGGTTTAGGGTTGCCAGGATTCCCCCTTATTCAGCAAGCAGCACCTAGGGCGAATCAGCGAAGGACCCGCAATCACTCAAGGTCAGACGAGACCAGTTGCAATATGGGGTGGTTTCCGGTCATAGGAGACCGTTCATATAGACCCAAGAACATAGACCCCAATAAGGTACCCCTCAATGCCGCCATCCAGCGTATCTTTATTTGACACTTCCATGCTCAAAAACCATAGCTGCTTCCCCCGATCACCCGACAAGAAGCCCTTAACGTCGCCTTGACAGATGGGATTGCTTGATCCACCCTAAGGATCCCTGAACCCCAACATGTAGTGTGCCTGAAAGTCATCAGAGAAGCAAAGCTACTTTAAAGCCTTAAGTATACCCTGTTGAAGTCCGTGAACACATTAACCTAGTAGTAGAGTAGGAAACCTTTAACCTTTTGGGGTAGTATAATCCCCTTATAATCCCAAAGCTTAACCTTTATTTCCCCCAGCTTACTGGACAACTAGTTAAGGTAACAACCCAGAAGCTCGTCCAGGAGCATGAACAGCGAGTTCAGGCAGGTTCTGCCCCACTCGCACGATGACGGGTGGACAGTTCAGGGTTCCCCTAAGCCCTAAGCCCTAAACCCTGAAGCCTGAACCCTGAACCCTAAACCGGGCTTTCGGGTTTTTGGGGCAGTTCAAGGGTGTTTCGGGGGGGCGTTTCAGCGCCTGAGGGCTTTAGGGGATGAGACCTAGAAAGCCTAAACCCTATCTACACCCTTTAGGGCCCGCCCTAAACCCTAAACCTCAAGCCCTAAAGCCCTAAACCCTAAATCCCATCATCGAACCTTGACCTGCTTCCAGCATCAGGATCTTCGCTCCAAGCACGACGATGAAAGAACTCTTTTGAGGACAGTGTTTCTGAGTAGTAGAGTAGGCAGGCTTACTTAACCTCTTGATTTTTTTTGTGGGGGGGGGGGGGGTGCTACAACCCCTATACAAGCCCAAAGGTGAACCTTTAGTTCCCCTGGATAGAGGACAGCTAGGGTTTAGGGCATAGAGCTTCAGACTTTCTCGCCCAGGGTGGTGCTGAGCGGGCTGCTGCTGTTCTTGCAGTCACAATGAGCAATATAGGGGCCGGAATAACTACCAATGATGCCCTTCTGGTCCTTTTATAATTCTACTACAGCAACCCCCCAAAACCCTGTCCTAATGATTAAGGCTCCTACAGTATGGTGTCTTGGCAGTGCGCAGGAGCAAGACGGATAACTTCAGAGACGAGCACACTCGAATGGCCGAGGCGAGCTGGCGTATTGAGAAGCTCGAAACGCGGCATGGCTTCTTCGCCAATTCTACTTCTAACGGTACCTATAACCCACTTATAAGCCCCTTAAGTGCCCTAATATGCATATATATAAATATATATACATATACATATATATAGAAGTAGAATTATAAGTACAGCTCAACCGAACTACGGCCCACAACCTTAAAACCAAAGTCCTGGTCGCACACTTCCTCGAGCTCAAGAGTGTCAGGACATGAGGCAGCAGCTCGAAAGCGAGCGGCAGGCCCACACGAGGACCAAAGACGACGACAAGGTCTGCACCCTAAACCCTAAACCCTAAACCCTAAACCCTAAACCCTAAACCCTAAACCCTAAACCCTAAACCCTAAACCCTAAACCCTCCGATTTAGGGATTTGGTGGTGGAGGTGCCTACTTGGAGGTTCAGGGTACTTATGACCAACTATACCTGTACCTATAAGCATATTAGTGCACTTAAGGGGCTTAGAAGTGGTTTATAAGTACTGTTATAATTGGTCAATAAGTACCGTGAATCTCCAAGTAGGGCGTAGGGTGATAGAGTGCTTATGCAGTTGCCCGACTCAAAGCAGCAGTTCCTACAGCCCAGTAACACAACAAGTTTGCCCCTGTGTTTCCTTGCTTCCCGGGGACTGCTGTACCTTAAATCTCCGCAAAGCTCACAGGGCAATCTCCACTTCAGGACTTCAGGCCGTTTTTTCAGACGCTTAGAAGCATCGAAAAGACCACAACGCCTCTAACCGCAAACCCCCTTACAAGCGTGAGTAATATGGGGGTCGGAATACTCACTAATAGTCTTCCCTCATAGTCCCTTTTCCAATTATACGATGATGTCCCCCCAAGACCCAATTCTAATTCTTAAGACCTATATTTTGGGATGTTCCCCCCCCCCCCCCCCTATACTAACAGTCCTGAAAGGAGATAGTCTAGTAAGGGGGCATTATCATCCTTATTAAGGACTGCTAGTAAAAGGGGGCAACCTAGATGATTCTTACACCCTTAACCTTAAACCCTCAACCCTCAACCCTAAACCCTAAACCCCCCGAATATTCCGCAAGTGGCCCCGCTTCAGGGCCGCTTGCTGGAGCACAGCCGCACCGCGGGTGTCCTCGAGGGGAAGATCATCGCCAACACCGAGGAGAACAAGGCCGGCTGTGGCGCTAACGGTTTGCACGCGAAACGCTAAATTTTAAACCCTAAACCCTCAATTTTGAGCAAACCCTAAGCCCTTCTTGGTGGCGAAGACCTGCGTTCAGGGTTTTTTTTGGAGTCTTCGTTTGTTACCCCCTCAGGCTGTAGCCCTAACGGTTTTCTAACACACAAAACCCAAACTAAAAAACGTGGAACCAAGTAATTTTAGCCCTTTTAAGAGACCCAAACACACAAACGAAGCCCAAAAAACCTACCTGCCCAGGCCTTGCGCCAGAGGCTCCAGGCCCTGGAAGAGAAGGCGGCCCGGACCGGAACGCAACGACGAAGCCTGTATCTCCAGAATAGCAAAAATCGGGGGGTATAGGGTGTAGGGTTTAGGGTTTAGGGTTTAGGGTTTAGGGTGTAGGTTTGTAACCCCAAAAATAGCCAAAAGTCGCCTGAATCATTAGAAAAGGGTTTTGGGCGGTTCTTATAGTACAATTACAAAGGGACCATCAGGGAATGTTATTAGTACTTATTCCTGCCCCAATATTAGGGTTTAGGTCTTAGGGTATAGGGTACAGGCCGTTACCATTTGCGTGGTTATTGTCTGGGTAAACCCTTGGGAGATTTTTACAATTACGCCTATGGAGTTTAAGAGAGGTAAATTTAGGAATATTTTCTTGAGGGGTTCAAGGGGCAACCTTGTTGTTCGTGTCATGAGTATGCTAAAATTCTTGTAGAGATGATAATGTTACTAGTAGTAGTGCAATTTGTATCTTTGGTCCTTTTAGTATTCGTATGCAGAGTCTTGTGAGTCTTGCTACTATCATCTGCATTCTTAGTGGTTTAGTATTGCGTGTGAGACTTAGTTAGTATTAGTTAACTAAACTGGCCCCAAACCACCGTTTAGCTGTACATACCAAGTAGGGTTAGGAGAGCAGATTCGGATGACTGATTGTATTTTGGCTCAAGGAAAATAGGCGTGCCCGTTGTGCGTCTTTCCTTGTCTTAAGTACCTTTGTTGTACTTAACTGGTTAACAGCCTCAAGCTACGTGGTCACTTTGGTAGGAACGTAGGCAAAGCCGCGCGCCGCCATAGTGCCCCCTCCATAACCGCACACCTGCCTTGAGAGTGTGCTTGAAATTGCGCGACAGGAGCCGCTGGCCCTGCCTCATTCATACTTCACATCCAGCATTGTGTCGAGCCAGAGCCAGGCTCAGCAATTGCATTCACTTCACCTGCAAGCCACCGTTGGGCTTTCCACGTGGCATTCCATATCTCGAAATCTTCGATCGTGCATGCAAAGCACTGAGCCGGAAGAGCATTACGCAACACACCTCCACATTTGGGTTCATTTCATTAAGGCCTTGCGTGAGAAACGCATCACGCGTTTGTTGATTGCTCATCCGCTAAATTGGTGGAGAAGGTTCGTGAGTAATCTTCTTGCTAATCACTACAGAGAGGTATCGTTTGACTGGCAGCTTAGGGTCCTTGTCCGTGCTTTAACGTACGCCGACGATAGGTGGGTCCCTAGATTGCCTCAATACTTTCCGTGACATCCAGGTACATCGTGTGGCTGCGCATCTCCGCTGCGGTGTCGAGGTGCTCGCCTCTCTTGCCCTGGTTGGTTCTGACTTTCGGACTTCACTTCAAACATTCCTGAACATCTTGCCTTTGTACCCTCTCCTGTGAACCCGTGCACGGTTTAGGGAGGCTAGGCCTTGTGGGTACCCTAGGCGTCTGACGAAGCATCACTGCATCACCGTGTGCTTCGCCTCGAACTGCCCAAACAGCAGGTTCAGTTCAGACTTCGATCTTCGCGTGGTTTGTGGTCTCCCTTCGGGTTGAGACTAAGCCCATCACTCCGCCAACAGCAAACCCACAGTGCCGTTGGCTTGACCACGCACTGTGAACGCAACATCGGACAAAGTCCCAATCCCTAAGAGGTTTCAGGGTCAAAGCAAAGAGAGTCGCGGGTCTTCCCCACTCTCATCCGTGTGCATTGGCTCAGACAGCCGGTTGAGTGCGTGTCGTTAGTTGAAAGACCTGCATTGCCCCAATATCCCATCTGAGGAATCCCGGCAAGGTAGTCAAGCTCAGGCACTCTGCACACATTCTTCTGGCCACTTTCTAGGCTTGTTGGGGTCGCCGCCCGAATTAGGCTTAGAGGGGTCGCCGCCCGAATCAGGCTGTGCAATTGTCTCTGGTACCATGGGTTGGAACGATTTTTTTGCAGGCGTGGGAACGCGTGACCTCTGAAGAGTCCTTTGTGGAGCGTGTGACTGCTGCTTTTTCCAGGGCCACGAACTCGCCTGCGGTCAAAGGCTCGTCTGAGTTCCGTCGGAGGAAAGCTGTCCTCTTGGTGGTCATCCGTGCGCTGGTGCAGCTTCTCATCGGTACTCAGCAACAGTCTGGGGCCATACGGCTGGTCCGAACTCGAGAAAGAGAGCTCGAGGGCACGGAGGCATTGCCATATCATCCTTACGCTACGTTCGTCGAGGATACCCTGGAAGAGGTCAGGGGAGTGCTTCAGGCACCTTCGCCGGAGCCTGAGATACCGGCTCCGAGGACTCCTCCTGTCGCAGTGCGTTCCAGATCTCCGCCTCGTTCCTTGGTTGAGGGTTCTGACCAAACTCCGGTACCTCCTAGACCGCGACCGAAACATAAGGGTGATCGAACCCCTGCACCTCCTAGGGCACGACCTAAACATAAGGGTAATAGAACCCCGGTTCCTCCCAAGGCAAGTACCTTGCCCGGAACACCAGGTCCGTCACGTGCACCGGAGGCTGCAGCAGATCTTCTTGTGTATCGTCCCAAAGCAAAGGCCCGACCCGAGTCCAGACCACCGCAGGACTGGGAGTTGGACGAAAGAGAGTATCCAACCATAGCGGATTCGTTCAGGGAACAGGTTGAATTGGGACAACACTCAGATAGAGAAACCATAAACCGGTGGACTACTGAAGAGTGGAGAGAGCATAATCAGGCGCTCTCATCTTCTTCTTCTGCCGCGCCGCGTGTTGCACCTTTGGAAGTGGTCGAAGTGCGTGAGGACATCCCTGTCCTGATTTCATTGGATTTCAGCGGGGTGCTCAACATCCACTTTCAGGACAGCCGAGATTTTTTGGACCGTTTGAACGCAGAGCGTCCGAGCCACGTGAAGCTGAAGTTTATTTGCACGAGTTACTCTGGGACAGAACGGGCCAAAGAAACGCGTCAGTCGATGGCTTCGGAGCTTCCGGGCGTGCCAGTCTACATCACTAGCTCTCCAACGGGCCGTCCTGGAAAAGGAGCCTTCATTAAGCGTTTGATGGACCGGCGGTCGGATCACTTTGCGTGTCATTTGGATGACAGATCAGACATCGTGCGGGACGTCGAGGCGTATGGTGTTCACGGTATTTTGGTATCGCCGAATACGTGGCTGACTGATCTCGTGCCCACTGTGCTGTTGTGGCTGCGGTCCCTGTAAAACGCTAAAAGAGAGCTGCTGACCTTCAGGGGAACCTGGGTTTTCTATTGCCTGGCACCATGGCGATGAGTCCCGAAACTACTGATTCCTCGCTCCAGGTGTCCACTTCCAGCACGCCGCCTACACAACAGGCGCGGGCACTCAGTGCTGTAAGGGCACAAGAAGCAAGGGTAGGAGAGAGCAGTAGTGATTCCACTCCCGTAAGAGCCGTTTCAACCGGAAGGGGAAGGTCCTCTCAACCCTATGCCTTAGCTAGTTCCCGAAATCGCTCTTTCTCCTCTAGGATGCAAGCTTTGTTGCCTCCGCCTGCTTATGCATGTGAAGTTGCAAGTCCTGCACCAGCAAGTCAACCTGTTTCGCTTGCACCGGGCGATGGGACAACCACCCCGGATGTGCACTTGCATCAGCATGTTCAGCGCATTGCCCCAGAGTTGCACCTGCATCAGAGTCGTCAGGAATTGCATCTTCATGGGGTTGATTCCCGAACACATTCTCAGGCCGTTGCTGCTGCACAGCTGGCACAAGCGCAAGCACAAAACATTCAACAGGACGCTCAGGTGTTTGCCCAGAACGTTCAGCATGAAGCTCAGGCATACGTGCAGGTTGCAAAGAGTGAGGCTCAGGCATATGTTCAGAGCGCTGTCACTTCTGCTCAACATGAAGCCATGCAGCACGCACAAGAGTATGCAGAGCGCGTTAGGGCTGAAGCTGAGAGACAGGTCCAGAGTGTTTCAGAACAAGCCGGTCAGCATCTTGCACAAGCAAACGAAACCATTGCCTCACTTCAGGCTAGGAATCGTGAGCTTGAGGAGCAGCAGGAAGAAATGATGAAGCGGATTGCGATGATCCAAGCTGAGATGCAAAGCATCAAAGCTCAACAACAGTCCCAAGCCGACACATCCCACCTTCACGCAGAGCGAGTGTCGCAGGCCTCAAGGGCTCAGGACCAAAATGGCACGGAGATCAGTGAAGCCCTCAAGGCCTTGGCTGCAAGTGTTGGTGAGACAATGAAGGAGTTGCGAGAAATCGTCAGTCCCAAAGCATCCAAGCCTAAAAGCAAAGCGAAAGGTTCGGGGCTCCGAAACGGGACACCCTCCCCTAAGCATAAGAGTCCAAAGGTCTCAGCGACTCAAGGTCAAAGATCTGCTGGTGTGGCTGCTGCGCCTGTTCCAAATCGGTTTGGATGCTTCTGCGCACCCAGGTTGCCAGTTTTCACCGGTGTTGGTTTGCCGGCTCCGTCTAGATCCAAGAAGGGTTCTTCGAGTGACAATCCCTTCAACGTCTTCTCCACTCCCAAACCTCCTTCAGTCGCGCATCCCCCAGACCCTCCGATGCACTACGACATCGGGTCCGAACACGAGGAAGGTGAGGAGGAAGAGGAGAGGGAAGATGACCCCATCATTGATGTCACCGATGCACCGGGGGAAGAAGAAGTAGACTATGAGCAGGATACTTACCACAACAAAGATCTTCGAGACCTGAAAATCCCTGCACTTCCTTCGACAGCCGCGGGATATCGAGCATGGAGGAACGGCGTTTTGACATCGTTCAGCAGCATAGACAAGAGTGGGAACGCCAGGATACTGAGATGGCTCCAGGTCGCCCTTGATCCAGCCATAGGAGACCGACAGATGCGCAATCTGCAGGTCACGTCTGACGGCCTTCCCCGCCTTGATGCATTCCTGGCTGCACAGCTTACAGATCCAAAACACCTCAAGGGAGACTACGGAGTCGCTGCCCAGGCGTTCACCGAGCGAGCACATGCGTTAGGCGTGCAGCCTTCCGGGCGTGCGCTGTTGGCAATGCTCAGCCGAAGGTTTCGGGTAGACCGGATCAGGGGGGCGACAGTCTCCCAGCAGACACTCTTAGCCATCCAGCTCGAAGGCTTCAGCCAACAACAACTGCAAGCCTTTAGAGAAAAGGTTGAGTTTTGTTTGAACGGTTTCAGTCCCGAAGCATGGCCCGCTGAGTCTACCTTGTTTAGCTGGTTATACTCCAAGCTCAAGCACTGCAGGCTTCTTTCCAGAGCAGTCGACAAGATCAAAGACTCCAATCCAGGTAGCAACAAGCGAACCTTTGCGTGGTTGTGGTCGCAGCTTGTCGAATTGCTAGATGAGCTGAGAGAAGAAGCAAACGAAGAGTCAATTCGTGACACTCTCATCAAGCCCAAAGCCAAAGCTGCTCCCGCCACAAAGAAAGAGGAGCGTTCCCGCGATAAGCCGGACAAGCCCACTCCTGCCAATCCAGCCCCTCCGGCCAAGACCAAAGGTTCTGGGAAGGATGGGAAAGACAAGGATGGCAAGGGAAAGGGGGGTAAAGGGAGTGGTAAGGGTGCAGATTCACAGAAAACACCAAACAAGCCAAAGGCGAAATCAGGCGGTAAAGGCCAGGGCTCCAAAGCTGAAGGCAAAGCCCCAAGCAAAGGAAATGCCCCCAAAGCTACCGTACCATGCCTGTTCTTCCCAAAGGGAACGTGTAACCGGGGTGAGAATTGTCCGTTTTCGCATGAGACCTCTCCCGGTAACAAGGCCCCAGGGTCAAAGACTACTGGAGCTAGCGCTACGGCAAAGAGCTCTGCCGCAGCTGTCGCCCTGCTGCTTCCCACTACGGCGCGGGGTGCCTCGGTCGATGGTTCCTCCACACCGAGCAAGACAACCTTTTGGAAGCGTTCAGGATTGAGTAGGTTCTTCCAGTTCGTTTCGGGGTGGTTTACTGTGTTCAGCAACATCTGCGCTCCTGCCTGTCCCGCCACTGTCACTCCGTTGCTTGTAGCATCTCAGCATCAGCACCCGCAACAGGGATGGTTCTACCACGAGTGGATCGCTGATAGTGGTGCAGGTAGATCCCTAGAGAGTCGTGAAGCCCTCAATGAACAAGGCATTCCTGAAGACGCATACGCACACATGGCCGAACAGGCACCCACAGTATCCTTTTCCACAGGGAATGGTGTCGTTGATTCAGGGCTCATGCTTGGCTTCGAGGGTTCCATTCTAGGAAACAATTCTGCATATCTCCTGGACAACTGCCCTAGTGTAAAATCACTTGGTGAGTTGGTAGAGACAAAGTCTATGCCGTTTGTATGGTTGCCAGGAAAGCTTCCGATGTTCCTGTCGAGTGTCGAACACGTTCAGGTCATTGAAGAATCCGCCATATGTGCCGATAGAGTTGAGGGAAATGTTCCAATCTTCAGGGAACAGGTCAGATTCGTCTCGCCTTCCACTGTTGCGATGCCTGGCTTCATGAGCGATGCTAGAAAGGCAAAGCCTCTTGCGCGCACTACCATAGAGCCTTCACGGCACACCACGTATCGACCCTCGCCGCATATCACGGAGGAGTCTACCTTGCTTGAGTTGTTGCAGGATCCAGGGGTGCCGTCAAAGACCGCCTCCGGGTCTAGAGATCCTCCACCTGACTCTGATGACGAGCTGAAGTCTAGGGCAAAGTCCTCTTCAGCAAGAAAGCCAAAGGCTAAACCAAGTCCAAAGGACAAGGTCAAAGGTGCAAAAGCTCCTAAACCTGCTGAAGCAGCGAAGGCTCCGGAACCTCCTGCTCCAGTAGAACCCGAGGTCCCGCCACCTCCACTTCCTCCACCTGCCATTCCGCCAGGTTCTGGGTCGGACTCAGGAGAGGACGTGACATCAGAACGTCAGAAGCAACTCATCAAGGAGGCCTCTTCAATGGCACACAAGTTGACGCATATCCCTAAGAATCCCTACTGTGAGATATGTCAGCGAAGCCGCATGTATCGACAAAGAGTCACCAAGAAGCGTGCAGAGCCTCTCGAAGACAGAGGTGACTTGCCTCCTGCTGAACAGTTTGGCGAGAGGATTGCAACAGACTATATAATCCCTTCGAAGCGTGAGCATGCAGTCCATGTCATCAGGGATGAATATAGTGGTGCACTGCGAGCTTTTGTCTGTGCGCGCACAGCTGAGAGAGCAGCTCAGAACCTCCTTACCTTTGTAGGCGCCCGATACAAGCACCTCCCGAACGTGTTGTGTAAGGCTGATGATGCAAAGGAGTTAATAGCTGCCGTCTCACAAATAGGATGGGTGCATGAAGCGACCCTAGAAAACAGATTTCCACACAACGCCCAACTTGAGAGAGAGATAAGAACTCTCGAGGAATCGACTCGCGCGGTGCATTTGGCTGCTGGGTTCCATGTGGTTCCAGATCTGTGGCATGTGTCCGTGCAGTTTGCCGCGCAGACTTTGACAGTTGTACCGTGGCAGGGCAAAGACAAGTCGCGTTTCGAGGTTGCAACTGGTTCCCCATTCGAAGGCCCAAGGCTTCCCTTGGGACAGTTGGTGCATTACAGGATCCATGACCCCAGCCGCAGGCATAAGTTCGAAGCTACAACTGCTCCCGGACTATTTGCAGGTTGGAGGTTTGAGCACGGATTTGTGTATCGTGACGTGATCTGGGTGCTAGACTATGAAGCCGTCAAGTCCAAGTCGATTGGGTATAGGGACATGATCCCCGTGCCATATGCGGAAGTGCATGTCCCAGAGACTGAGACCTTCCCGCTAAAGGCCGCGGCGGATCTTGCTCTTCGCGAGTTCCAGGATCCCAAACTTGAGGCTATCACAGCGCTGGACATACCATTCAGCTCACTGTCCCCTGCTGATCCTCCTCGAAGGCGCGCAGAGTACATTACGCTTGAACGCATTCTTAAGTTCGGTGCCACACCAGGATGCAAAGCGTGCACTTTCGATTCCGTGAAGCATAGTCCTAAATGCCGAGCAAGATTCGATGCCCTGATAAAGGCTGATAGGGTTGCGTTGACGTCCAAGCCCCCTGAGCCAGTTCCTCCAGCTGAGCTCCCCGAAGGCGTTGGTCTCCACCCTTCGAGTGAGCCCGCTGTAGAAGGTCTTGTTGCGAAGGTCGAGCTCGGTGTGACGCAAGTCTTTGTCGATGCCAACAGGGAAAGAGTCCGCCAAAGAAAGGTGCAAACGATCATAGGCAAGGATGTGTTGTTCGAATATGCGTGTGGCGACAGT